CCAGTTATGAGTTTCTCATTTTTGTAGCATCCTGCTTCTTTTCTATTTAGAGTAGACTTGTCAATATTTCTTTTAGCATGGGTTTAGTGTTGCTAAACTCTTTCAGTTTTTGCTTGTCTGTGATGAAAATTATGTTTTAGAAAGAGCACTCAGTTCTAAGCGTTTTCTAAAATCCAGTTCAAATCCATTTGTTATGGTCTACTCCAGAGGTTTTAAATCTGTGTCTTTTCTCTTTCTTTCTTTTTCTTAAATTTATTTTTTCTTCCCCTCCCTCCCTCTTCTTTTTCCTTTCTTCCCTCTTTCTCTCCTTCTTTCCTTTCTTTTGGACCAAGGGTTCCAAAGGGGAGCTTCAGGTCAGAGTAGGAGGTGTCAGACCTGCAGTGTACAGGCTCTGGGCTGGGACATCTCCACTTCAATAAGAGCAGTCTGCTTTTATTTGCATAACATTTCTTTTGAAAAATGTTTGAAAACAAAAATTGAGACATGACAATGCAGAATGAGAACAGAAATAAAAAGCTCTTAGAGAACTGGTAACCTTTATTCCCTGCTTTACAACTGCTCTTAGCAAATCTCTAGAGGCTGCTCCATAAATCAAGCTGTGGAGTCAGATCCCCCAGGAGGAGTCACTTGATAATGGGACAGTGATAATGACTGGACAGAGCTCTATCCCTCATCCATCCACCTTTACCACCATTTCCCACTTATATTCCATGACAATAATTATAATAGGGTCTATTGTAGTGACTAAAATCCATTTAAAAATATTTAATTTGAAAGGGAATTTCTAGGAATATTGCTCTAGAAATGGATTTTCTTACATCTGGATTTTAGAGTTTAGGAAATAAGCCTATCTTCTTAAAAAAAAATCAAAGCACAAGGTATAAGGATGGGGAGTTAAAGTTATCAGAAGACAGGGCAGGTGGGGAGGAGTTTCTGAGACCTAACATGATGCCCATCTGGTATTTCAGCTTCTTTGAGGACGAAGGTTTAAGGAGAAAAAAAGGTGGAGACAAGGGGGAGCGGAATTCACAGAGATGGCAATTTCCATTCCAGCAATGGTGAGAACCAGAGGTCCAGACAAAGAAGTGAGTGTTCTAACAGTTGGGCTGAGCCAGGTAAAGGGACATCTCAATTGGTGCTTGTAAGTTTAGACAGGTGCGCAGGCAATGACATCTAGAAGGTCCATCAATGGGATCTTTAGCCAGTAAACTAGTGTTTAGAGACAGAATTTTTGGTCTTGTGACTAGAAAGACCTTGGCAGGATTTTAGTTCTTTCAAACTTAATTGAGGCATTGGCAACTTGTTGGTAAAATGGAGAATAATCGTATAATCTGGGGCACATGGGAAAACTAGGTCTTTGGATCTTGAGGGCGAGGACCTCATGATCGGAATAGAGAAACACACAATGGGTTGCATTGCACCAGAACGACTCGGGAGCTGGGTGGTAAGTACTAGGATCCCACATCAGGGATCATCAAACTGGGAGAATGATTCTAGTGGAGAGCTCATGGGTCAAGATGTGAGGAAAGGCAGTTAGGTAAAATGAAGCTGGAGTTGAGTGTTGAGAAAACTCAAAGGTGTGACTTTAGCTCTTTTTTTTTTCCACAATAGATAATGGTTATACATTCTTGAACCTAAAGACAAAAGCCAAGTAACTCTATTGGTTGTTTAACTCTGGCAAAAGAATAACTAAATAATTTGAACTCTAAGACATGCAGCCTACTAACAATCTCTGACAAAGATTGTAAACAGAAAAGGGAGTTGCTATAAACATAGCTAGCTGATTCTTTTTGTACATATTTTTAGTTGAATAAACTGACAGTCTTTGGTCATGTCCTTACATTTTATTTTAGAATCCTCTCAGGTGCTGGGGTTGGTGTCTACAGGGATGCATTCCAACTATAGGTTATTGAAAGAGTTGGGCTTTTACCCTCATGAAGTCCTGGGAAGACAGCTCAGAGAAGGAGAACTGGGTTATATGAGGAGGGCTTTGAATTTTATTTTCCAGATAATAGTTCTTGGATACAAATCCTTATATTTTTGTCAACATTGAGAGTTCACTTTACTTTGATGGTACAAACAATTCAAAGGTTACTCCGGGCAATCCTTGGATCCTAGAAATGCCTATATATTTTTGGTATATAGAAATCGCAGCTTTTTAAGACCAGAAGGGACTTTAAAAGTTATCAAAATTAAATTGCTTCACTTAACAATTGAGAACACTGAGGCCTGTAAAAATAATGTGGCTTGCTTAATGCTAGGGCATGAAAGGATGGGTCAGGACTAGAAACTATGAAATGGATTTCTAGTCCACTACTATTTCCATTACCATGCTTTTCCTGCCATAGACAACAACCCAAGCTTTTAAAGCAACAACAACTTTATTTATTTATGTATTTATTAACAACTTTAATCTGAATGTTTTCATTTTCAAAGCAATTTATTATTTCCCATGAAAAGTTATAATGGGCATTTCAGTGATGCTGATACTAATTTGTCATGCTCTTCTATACAAGCTCAAAATGTATCCATCGAAATGTATTTTTAATCTTTGACTGGTAGTGATGAGTTCTGTTTATTTTTAAATATATTTAAAAGTGTATTTGCTGAGTTTTGTTGAAATGAGATTAAAAAAAAATTCAATTGTCATGGTGGAAAAAAGACCCCAGGGATTTTTATCTTGTAGGACAAGCATCTGAGTAATCAATTTGAAAACTCTATTAAATATTTTTTCCTTTATCCAAGAGGCAGACAAGGAAAGGGAATTCTGATCTTTTTTTCATCTTGGTCAAATCCTTGTGCCATTTTCTTCGTGATTTCTGCTATGCATGTGAACTATGATCATATACGAAAATGGTCTGTTTTTAAGTCATGGCTGTGGGCAGAGATTAATTGGTGAAAAATGGGCCTGTTTGTGGGATTTACCACACAGTAAGGTTTCACATCTCCCTGGAAAAATGTGGAATTAGCTTTTTGAGAAATGCAGGCCTGTCATGAGGTTGAAGGGAGAGTTTTGGTGGAGGGAAACAGTTCACTAAGGCAGTTATGATTGGTTAGATTCCAGAGCAGGCCCTTTGGTACAGCAAAGTTCTTCCCACTTTCAAGTCAGTGTTTTCTACATGTAGCTGGTTTCACCAGTAATTCACAGATAGCATCTTATTTGGCTTCTTTCATGGCCAACTGATCCAAACTGGGCAATGGTCTTGGAGAGAACTCCTAATCCTCCCATCCCTGCTCTCTAGAACGTGTAGTTACAGTGCAAGAGCCTTCAGTGTGGAAAGAACTTTTCGACAACAGATTTTCTGTTTGTTAAGCGGGATACAGATGTGAACCAGTGGATAGGTTTGGGTATGGGTGTGAAGCGGAGGATGGGATGGTAGTTCCTCCCTTATGAAGAAGGTTCTTGAGGAAGATGAGCTCGGTAATACCTACTAGGATAATTGCAGAGAGCGCTCCACGTGCATGCTCTCCCTAAAAGCCACTGCAAGGGCCTGCTGCGTGGCCCAAGAATCTACACTGCCGCTGAGGACAGACCTAGCTACAGCGATCAAGATTTCTTCACCATGACTTTGGCTGTGGCTGGCCCTGACCAGGTCACAGCTTGGCTCGGAAAGTCGGAGGGCCCACCCTAAAGTGGGATGAGGGTAGAGGCGGGACTTGCCGCCTCCCCTGTCATCTCGGTTTCCCTACTAGACAGTCTCTTCGGGGACCACAAACGCCCTCTTTCCCCAAGCCCCCAGTGGTGACCTGCCGGAGAGTGGCTGGGGTATGTAACTTACCCCCAACGGGAACCTGTGCGCCTGGGGTCCCAGGGTGATCGACTTGCCCCCTTCCAGCCGAAAATGACCCCGCTCGTCTCTCCCAGCCCGGGCCCTTCGGGTGGCCGCTGTCGCGCTCTCCCCTGCCCCGGCGCGCTTAGTCAGCGGGGGTCCCGGCTGGCGTCCCGGCCGGCGGCCGGCTGGGCAAGAGGCGGCGCCGGTGGCGGCGGGACCGGACGGGGCGCGG